ATATAAGACTGAAATATACAGTATTATTGTTATTGGTTCGATGAGAATAACGCCGAAATTCAAGAACATATCTCCCTAAATCACTCTGCCTTTAAATCAAAGTCGTCTTCCTTCAGAATCGCTCTGGTCCTTCCTCCATAAACTCTTCCTCTGGTGTGCGATTTACAGAAGATAGATTGCTTCTAGACTGCTCTATATTGTTATTTTGGATTTATGTACCCATGTTACTATTTAAATTATTATATGACATGTTCTGATAGTGTATTCATTGTGTGAAACAATAAACTGAAACTGAAGGCTCTGTTAAACTATTTATCAACCACCGATGACTCAATTATCGATGACATACCACAAGCTGAAATGAAATAACAACTTGAAGGAAGAACCTCTTTTTTGAAGTCCTCGGTGCTATGGTATTCCAGCTGAGGTGCTGAAATATGGGGGACACGAGATCATGACGCGCCTGTATAACCTGTTTATTTCTATATGGCGTTGCGAGAGTTTCCTGCACGGTTTCAAATATGGGAACATAATCAAACTCTTCAAAAAGAAATGCATCCCCCATGCATGCAATACTATAATAGGGGCTGGGTAAATCACCCTACTCTCTGTCGCTGGCAAACTCGTCACTAGTTCTAAATCATATTTGACCAACCATAGAATAAAACCTACATAAAAAATGAATAAAACAATGATCTTCACATTGTGTTTTTTGATCTAGCAAAAGCGTTCTTCACAGTGGATATTACGCTTGCTTGGAAGCTACTTGGAATACCTCTTGAGCTGGTAAAAATCATCGCAAATTTTCATAACGGTATGGAAGGTAGAGTACTACTGATTGATGGTGATCTTACTGAACCCTTTTTCATAACTTCAGGTCTCCGGGAAGGATGCATCCTAGCTCCATCTATATTCATTCTTTACTTTGCCTATGTTCTTCGCTGTGCAACTTCATCTCAACTAGACACGTGTATCAACATACGCCACTGCATGGACGGTAGGCGATCGGGCCGTGCTGCAACCTCCATGGTGGATCAACTCTTCTATGCAGACAATGCTGCTTTTGAAAGATCCAGAACAGTGCATACACAACTTGCTTTGAACCTGGGCAACTCTTACACACCACCTGCGGAAAATGGGACACTTCCAACAAAGATGTCTTCGCAAAATTTCAAATATAAAATGGTGGCACAAAAAGACCAACATCGAAGTGCTAAACATGTTATTACCTCTTCTGTTGATCTGTAAAACAAAAAGCTAAATGCTTTTATCGAAAACCTTTTCTCATATCCTGAGTTGGTCTGCTCAAATCGAAAGGTGCTGTCCACGGGACATCTAGGACAAATAATAATCACATGTTACTTGATTCCATGTGTCTTCATCATTTACTTTTATAATGTTTGTCAATATTAATAAATATACACATAGTTAAAATAACTGTGATGGTAATCATATTAAAACAACGATGACGTAACCCCATTCCTAAAAAAAAAAAACAAACACTAAAACAGTAAAGGTCTGTGTAAGAAAAAGACAAGCCATGCAAACTCTAACGCATAATTTGAATTAATGTAATCCAAACAGTTTGAAAAAATAATATACTAAATAATAATAAGATTGAACATAACTTTGCTGTGCACAAACAAAAAAATGTTGAAAGAAAGATTCGGTACCAGTATGAGAAAAAAAATAGGCCTACTTACGATTCTTATAATTTTATTCACTGTAGGACCATAATGTATTTTATTTTTCCATTATTGTGATGAATTACATAGGCCGCAAATGATAAGTTGAATGTGCTTACCCATCTTCAATAAATGTATACCGTTCACCTTTGCATCTTGGCGTTCGTCTTGGAATTGCTGTGCAACTGATTATCTGAAGAGCTTTGGCTTTGTCCACTGCTTCTAGACCAAAAAACAATCTACGCTTCAGTTTAACGGATTTTGGTAAATCCTCTTTTCTGTATTCACGGCTATATGTAATGTCCTCATACAGTTTCAACAAAGTGTTGAGCCTAGATTTTCCTTCAACAGCAAATGCTTCCATGGCGTCTGATGGCGTGAAGCTAACATCGTAGTAACTTATACCCTTGACTTCACACGTAACATTGATTTTGACTGTCCGCTGAGTTCTGGTGACTGGGAGCCCTTCTGCAATTGCTTTAGGCACGTCGCTTACAATGTTTTTAAAGATTAGCCGCCCAGGAGTTGGTTCCTTCAGATAAAAGTAAAAATAGTATTTAGTTTAACATCAGTGCAGTGTTAGACGTATTGATTAAAAATTCAAAATTGTCGAAAACACACAGGTTCTATGGCATTTATATTGATTATACCTGTGAAATTGAGCTCCCAGTTACCAGTAATGATGATCAGAAAAATGTGTTGTACCACAATAATTGGTAACAAAAGTAGAAACCCCAGTTACTAAACCCATTTGGTCTACTCACTTCAGCTATAGTGCCACATTCTTCGAATCCTGTTGTCATTTTGTAGTGAGTGGAGTTATATGGTTCTGCATAGCAGCTATCGATGAATCTGAGCGCATTAGCTGGTACGCCTTCTACATAAGCAAGTGGGACGTACACGGTCAGACTAGAAGGACCACACTCCACTGTGGGTTCAGGCATGGGTGCTGAATAGTAGAAATTAGATAAAGAAAACGATAAATGTTGATATAATCTCATCAATCTGTTTTGCTTTATACAGTATTAGTTTCTGCCTTGTTTTCTATTTGTAGTCACTACTGTATAACTCTTGGTTTAACAAATTGGTCCTAGGTCTTATTACAGATGTTTTAATAAATAATAGGGGACGGCCAATAAAATACAAATTTTTTTTAATGCAAAACTGGGAAACTTTTCCCCTGTCTTTAATTTCAAAGGCCGATCTTCTGAGTCATTCAATGAAATACACCTTCGATGCTTTGGAATATTCAGCCCAGTTTTCGATGTCATGATAATCATAGCAACAAACATTTGTGCGAACTGAACTTATCGATCGTGGGTCTATCTATGGCCAGAAGCGGATCAAGAAATTTCCTGCCAGAGTCCAGACCCTCTTGAATCTTGAATCTTTTAAACAGTAAAAATGCTTTTTCAAAGCAGTCCTCTACAAAATGATTGGCTTCTCTCGACGGGTGTTAAGCTCCTCCTCCCACAGTCCACCACTTGATCATTAATTGTTCTCTCTTTCATTGTTTATTTGTACACATATTAAGACTTTGTAGTATGCCGACTTGCTTTGGACTATTGTTTCTCAAATTGTACAGTATATTTTAACCATTTAACTCTCTCTCTCAGAATATTCATTTTATGCCAGTCGTTGACAAAGGATACAGGAATAGCCGAAATATTCGCATCAATACATTTTAGTGTTTCTAAAATCAACATCTTACGTATTTGAGTTTCATTGCTGTTATGCTGTATTATATTTTATGTTCGAAACACACGTGGATACATCTTCATCATATATGTATATATATATATATATATATATATATATAAATATATAGTAATTAGCAAAAACAAGGGATAAGGATAGGAGCAAACAATAATAAAAATGTGTTTTTTTTTTAAAACCAGGACTCTAAATGTAGTGTTGTGTGTCTAGGAGGACCTTATCTGACCATTAATATGTTAAGAATGTAATAGAAAGGGACACATACTAATAGGATACATACATTGCATTTAATTGAATTATTTATTGTCAGAGACTGTACAAAACAGTATGGTTATATTTATCAAAGTTTACATATTACTCAATTTTGTGAATATTTAAAAACTGGGGAAGAAGCGTAACCACCCTATTTCCACATCCTCCCCCACCCCCAGTTTTGAAATATTTTAAAAATTGTCTGATTAACCATTCCCCAGTTTGTGATCAAATACATGTTTTTGTGTCTTAGAAAAATGAGTTGTACAAAACATTATTTCCCTCCAGAGCCTGGCTTTAAAAATGAAATCTTAATTCTTTAACAAAGGTTGATAAAGGTAAATTAATAAATACGATAAAGGGATAGGATATAATACAGCATTATATAGAAGCACCCTTTGGAAAACCTTAGCTCACCCCTAATTAAACTATGCCAGTTCTCCATAGGGAGCGAGTAGACATAGAAGATCTTGAGAGATTACAAACCAAAATGTCTAAGATAATTCTGACGGCAAGTGAGTCTACATGTAAAGAAGCTTTACACGATGGAAATCATTATCATTATCCCAAAAGCAAGACATCCAACGTGTAAAATATTTTTGAAAGGCTTCTTAAGAGATTTAGTAAACTGCCTGCGAATTGCCTTCAATGTTGTTTTAAGTCTTTAAGCAAAACAGATGTAAAATGAAAATGGAATCTCACATATTTAACATGTTCTCTCCATTCACGACATGGAATACAATTTCAATAATTATGCAACCATATAAAACGAAACCTGCCCTTAAACTAAAGTATGGTTAGCTGTTGTACAACATATAAAAAAAAAATGGAGCCTGCATTTAGAAAATTACCCAATACATGCTCACATTTAGAAAAACAAATCCCAATTAGATATTCAATTTGGTAATGCACGGAAAAAATACTTACGAGTTTTGATAGGCCATGACGCTTCGATACTATTTACCAATGCACATTCTCCCCCAGCACAAGGGTTATCACAGATTTTTGTAGCCACTCCCGCGTCCACCTTCAACATGTATTTAGAGCCTGCTTTTAAATTATCGTATGGGCTATCGATTACCAAGGTGTTAGGATACTTCTCAGATATTTTAACTTGCATTTTGTCAGATACATCGTATTTAGCAGCTACCTTTTCAGTTTTTAGGTCTATGACAGTTATAAACGCTGGCTTTATTGGCCTTATAACCTACAAGATAACATCAAGTTTAAATTAATTCATTTCTCTGAGTTTCTCAAGAGCCAATCTAACCAGTTATAAGTCCTTGATCTAACTTATTTTGAAAAAAAAACCCATTCCCCTTTGGCGATAGAACAAATAACAATTACGGTAGTTGATACCACTAAGTTATATTATAGTCCACTATACGGAGTGATACTATATTGGTTTCAATTAATTTGATACTAATCATAAATAAATATTTTACCATTTTCGATCACAATTTTTATTTAGTTTGTTGCTGCTTAAATTATCGAACCTCTTTTTGTACTACTGTATATTTTATTGTATAAACATATTTGTTTATAATAAACTTACCGCTTTGTCAAATTTGATTTTCCACTTCCTATCTGGGGTGACTTCAGTGTTGGGAGAAGGATAAGACTCCATTAGTAACACACCTGGTGGTGTGGTTTTCTCTAAATGAAGAAAAATCGAGTGTAAGGAATTAGTTTAATCAGCTTTAATCGTATTTGAATTCCCAACAAAGCCTCGGTGACCGATGATTCAAGGTCATCAGGAGGAGAGTGCTCAATACCGAAGTAGAGCTTATAGATATATTGTTATATGATAGTGGTGTGTGTGCGAGAGAAAGTTCCTGAGGATTTCTCTGGACGTATAGGTCTCCGTGGTCTAATGCGCGTGATGCTCGCTTTGATACGGTATCCAGAAGTTGCCCTGAGTTGAGACTTTACCAGTTCCTCTTTAGCTTTATCCATCGCATTGTTGACCAGCTTTCGTTGTTCAATAGAGAGTTGGCGATGGTGCGAATTCTTGTATTTACGCCACAAAAGTTTACGTCTAGGACATCGAGCAGTATGAGTAGCATTGTTATACCAAGGACGATGAGGTCTTGTGGTACATGTTAAAACACAATAGGGGCATGCTTGTCCAATCTATATTTGGCTGCTTGTTGGAAAATCATAACCAGTTTATTTGGACAGAGTAAATCACTCTTAAAACAAGGTAGCAAATAATTGTGATAGAATAAAATATCAACTTCTTAAGCTTACAGGTTTCAAAACCATAATTTTGAAAGCGAAGTTTAGGAAGCTTCACATGACAAGAGACAACACCACACTGTGGTCAAAAAGTGGAGACACTACAATGTCTTACGAGGTCATCTTCCTCACAAGTAATTATAAGGTCAAGAGTCTCCTGATGAAGTCCACTGTGTGGACGAGAGCTAGAGAATAAATTCTATATTGTTAGTCTCAAAAGTGCTGCTGTTATATACTTTATATTGTTGTAACTGTATCAGACTAACGCGGCTATACTTTTTATTCATCAAGGTCAAAAGTGTAACCAGATATGTGAGTAGCACCAGTGACGTGCTGAAGAAAGCCTCAGACGTGTCAACATGTAGATTAAAATCGTCCGCAGTTAGCACTTTTCTACCCAGAGTGTTAACAATCAATAAATGTGTCAAACTCATCGAGAAACACGGACGTTTTAAAGCCATTACTCTGAGTTGGTGGAGGCCTATATATGAGTAATATGTTTACATCGCAGGATATGGTAGTAAAACCAGATAACTCAAAAGTCATTAATGACAGACCTGTGTCGTAACTAATAAGTTTCAATTCACTTTTTAAAAGAACAGCAACACCCTACCATACGTCTTAACATCACGTGAGAGGTTAATGAGTTGCCATTAGGTGTAAGGTTCCTAACTAACAGAATCATCCTTCTTGAGCCATGTCTCGGTCGTAGGTGTATAGTTGGTCAATTTATTTCCTGTACGTTTGCCTCTGTATAGAGAATTACAAATTCCTTAAGCCTGCCACAATTTTATCCATTGGCAGATTTGGATAGGTCAAGGGGGTCCTGACCCCCTAGAATTAAAAAAAAAATCAACCTCCCTAAAAAAAAAAAAAAAAGGAAAAATCTAGACCTACCTTTTCAGGACCTGTGAGCTGAAATATTGTTGTTACAATGTGAAAATTAGAAGTCGGGAAAGCTCATTTCCTGCCATATATGAATAAAAATTTTCCCGGGGGAGGACCCCCGTATGCAACTACTAAAATGTGTTTTTATGTATAAATACACACATAATAGGCCTATTTACTGTAATAAAGATAAGAACAAATTTGCTGACCCTTTTTAAGAGAGGAAAACCTTGAAAACTTAAAAGTCATTAGCAGACACTTCAGAAGCCGGGAAAGCTCATTTTCGGAGGAGGGCATCCGACCCCAACCCCCCCCCCATTTGTATACATATATATATATACATATACATACATAGGGCCTATATATAGGCCTATGTAGGCAAAACTATATAACTATAATATATATATATATACATATATATACATATATATATACATATACATACATACACATACATACATATATATATACATATACATACATATATACATATACATACATACACATATATATACATACATACATATATATATATATATATCGTAGTAGACACTTACTTCGAACCAGGATGGTAAGATTTCCATAGTTTCTGAAAAAGCTGTAAAAAGAACAACCCAGATACATTATTTTGATAAATTTCTTAACATTGACTTGTCGTTTAATTAGTAAATACGTACTTTACATTATTTCACATGTCAAAATGCATTTAAATATGGAAATTGTTTTGTAAAATTGTATTGTTACGACTTATGCTTATTACTTGTGAACGTGTTTTAAATGTATATTTTTGTGTACATACGGTAAGCCATTCCAAAAGAAAAATGAAAGAATTGTTTGACAATAATGAGCAAACAAGAGTGGCCGGAAGCGCAGTGTTACTAACGGATATAACACAGCCCAGAATAATCCAAAAACGGGGTTAAAATGGAAGGCTGGCGACCAAAAAACCGGCTACATGACACATAAATAAAAATGGGATGAGATGGGTGAGAGAATTTAGAAAAGATGATCAACTGAAACAACAGTTGAGAAAAAATGTTTTACCAAAGATACTAGAAACACAAGATAGAGATCTTCAAAAAAAAAAAAAAGTTCCACCGAAATGCATGGTGGGATTACAAACAATGGGGCGCCACGTACGGCAGGATCTAAAAAACTTCTGCAACCGTTGCATAACTGTGACCTTCTGCAGAGGTTGAAATCGTTGCCATTATCCATAAGATACAAACAAGTAGACATAAATAAATCAAAATAATAAAATGACAGACACAAAAGCGCCGAATCGTTTGACCGGACTCTGATTTAGTAAAAGTTTTCCTCCATTAGTGGAAAAGGGGTGCCGTGTGCGTCTGGATATACCTAGCCAGAGCCGTAGATAGAGAGAGTTTGGCCAACTCGGTTTCAATCACGTGACTTACACCGGCCATGTTGTCACCAAAACAAAACAACGCGATAGGGTAGGAAGTTAGCAGTTATTATTGATGATTAATGCTATATAATGTGAAATACCGTTATGTTGGGTGTGGGGTTGCTGCAATCGGTCCAACAAAGAAACAAAAATGTATTAATTTCCTTAAATTCCAAAATGGAGGAGGATTTGGGATTATATTTTAACTTCGCATGGCGATCGAAAAATCTCGCTATCCACGTATTAAATAAAACGGCATGTACCGCCCGCCCCACTTCGCGGTAATAAATATATCCACCTACTACGGTACTACTTCTAGGCCTAGACAGGCCTAAATTTCGGTACTTCTTCGGCCGAACACCTTAAGGTAGTACTTAAATCAGCTTAATTACGATGATAATAAAAAAATAAAAAAGGAAGAATCATTCAAGCAGCAATGATTTATAAAAAGATGCAATGTTGCACTTTGCTGTTAAATTATATAACTAAATTTCCAGAAAGCTACATGAAGTATCAGTCAAAGGTAGCTTAAATTATAATTAAAAATAAAAATTGAATCCTCCAATAAAAGCGAAATCTTGTCCAAGGAGTCCTGAGCTATGCAAACATGCCCAATTGTGCTTTACAAATCAATTAATTGTGCAACTAAAGATTTTAAAGTTAAAAATATATTTTAAAGAGGCCCCCATGCCTAATTGTATTATAATATATTGATTGTTTTAATACATATTTTAAATCAAAACGTTTAAATGTTTTACAAATTACAAATCAAAATTTCAATGAATAGTAAATAATGAATAATAAATAAATAAATAATAATAATAATAATACAGTAATAAAATAATGATAATATTGTAACCTTTGAACTTTCAAGGACTCTATTATGGGATGTTCCCGCGGAGTCTCGCGACAAGCCAAGCTGTGTCTTGTTGGAGGCTCACACTTTGTATAGAATAAAACCGTTAACATCCAGCTTACTTGGTGTCTGGCTCATTCATTGAAGTCCGAACTCATCTAGTAACATCCATAGAGAGTTACAATATTATAACTCACTAATATTATAAACAGAAGTGTGGAGAATGCTGCTATTTTACTTACAAGGCCTAGCTTCTTGATTATGAATGATTAGGCATATGTTGTACAAACAATTCTCTCAATGCTATAATTCTTCAACTTTGATTTATTGTTTAGATTACAAATAGGCCTAGGCTATTTGTTGGTTTGAAGATGACCAGCATATTTTATTTCATAAATTAAAGTTTACGAAGTCATAGGCCTAGAGGCCTAGATACAATTAGAAAACTTTCATGTTATTAATATTTTTATCATTCATTTACAGGCGAAATTAATATTATCGCCGACGATTCACAAACCTACTCTGTCTGCACAACCAACCTTTCTCCTCTGCAGTGCTGACTCTTCTTAGGAGCCTCATGCTATATAGAGTAGGCTGCTAGCAACTAGGTATATAGGCCTAGGCCTAGATATGATAGACTTTTAAAACAAAAAGATAATCGTAACGGAAAAAAAATAAAGAATCGTCCTAACTTTATCTTCTCGAAATAATACAGCACGTCACTGATTAATTCCAAAGTTAGGTAAATATGATTATACAGTATATGATATTTACAATGATATGCTAAAATCCCATAATTGAATTGTCCTCATGAACAGAATAATGAAAGAAAGTTTATGCAGCAT